CACCAGCGCCCTGGGCCAGGTCAGGGACAGGATTTTGGATTTTGGATTTTGGGTGGGGTTTGCTTCTCTGGGAGGGGCTGGGGTGGAATTCCAGGAGCACCCTGGGACAGGGGAAGGTTTTCCTGGATGAAGGGCTGGGATGAAATTCCAGGGGAGATGGGGCTGGAGCACCCTGGGATAGGAGAAGGTTACCCTGGATGAGGGGCTGGGATGGAATTCTGGGGCAGATGAGGCTGGAGCACCCTGGGGTGTGGGGAATGTGTCCCTGGATGAGGGGCTGAGATGGAATTCCAGGGAAGCTGAGGCTGGAGCACCCTGAGGGGCTGGGATGGAATTCCAGGGAAGCTGAGGCTGGAGCACCCTCTGGGACAGGGGAAGGTGTTCCTGGATGAGAGGCTGGGGTGGAATTCCAGGAGCACCCTGGGATGGGGGAAGGTTTCCCTGGATGAGGGGCTGGGATGGAATTCCAGGGAAACTGGGGCTGGAGCACCCTGGGATGGGGGAAAGTTTCCCTGGATGAGGGGCTGGGANCTGATGGATCCTGGCTGTGACACTGATGGATCCTGGCCATGACACCAACCCTGCCATTTCCTGGGGTCACTTTTGTGTCCTGGTCCCTGCTGGGGGTGCAGGGAGGGCTCTGAGAAGGGACAGAGCTGCCCAGAAATGGTGGCAGTGTCACCTGCCAGGGAATTGGGGTCACTGACATGGGGGCTGAGCCCTCCCTGCTGAGGCTCAGCTGCCCCAGGGGTCTCACTTTGGGGTCTCACTTTGGGGTCATTAATGGACCATCAATTCCCCTTTTCCTTTCCCAGGTGCTGGGCAAGTCCTGCAAACCCATCCCAGGTAAAGAATTTCCCATTTTGGGGGGTGTTTGTGATTTCTGGGCCTCCCTGGCAGAGCCACCTGGGGCTGGGCTGGCATTCCAGGGAGGGATTTGGGATCGGGTGGTGACGTTCTGTCTCCTCAGCCATGATTTGGGAATGAATTTGTGGGAGTTTAATTCTGTGAATGAATTTAGGGCAGTTTCTGACCTCCCTTTTTCCAGTGATGCTCCTAGGGGTGACTTTTTGGGGTTTTTAGTTCCTGTGGGTGGATTTAGGGGCAGTTTTTGATGTCCCTTTTCCCAGTGATGCTCTTGGGGGTGATTTTTTAGGGGTATAATTCCTGTAGGTGGATTTTGGGGCAGTTTTCAACCTCCCTTTTCCCAGTGATGCTGCTGGGGGTGAATTTGTAGGGGTTTAATTGCTGTGGGTGGATTTAGGGGCAGTTTCTGACCTCTTGTTTCCCAGTGATGCTGCTGGGGGTGGATTTTTAGGGCTTTAAGGGCATTTTTGATGTCTCTTTTCCCAGTGATATTCCTAGGGGTGATTTTTTAGGGCTTTAAGGGCATTTTTGATGTCTCTTTTCCCAGTTATGTTGCTGGGGGTGGTTTTTTAGGAGTTTAATTCCTGTGGGTGGATTTAGGGGCAGTTTTGATGTCTCTTTTCCCAGTGATATTCCTAGGGGTGATTTTTTAGGGCTTTAAGGGTATTTTTGGTGTCTCTTTTCCCAGTGATGCTGCTGGGGGTGGATTTTTAGGGCTTTAAGGGTATTTTTGATGTCTCTTTTCCCAGTGATGCTCTTGGGGGTGATTTCTTAGGGGTTTAATTCCTGTAGGTGGATTTTGGGGCAGTTTTTGACCTCCCTTTTCCCAGTGATGCTGCTGGGGGTGAATTTGTCGGGGTTTAATTCCTGTGAGTGGATTTAGGGGCAGTTTTGATGTCTCTTTTCCCAGTGATATTCCTAGGGGTGATTTTTTAGGGCTTTAAGGGCATTTTTGGTGTCTCTTTTCCCAGTGATGCTGCTGGGGGTGGATTTTTAGGGCTTTAAGGGCATTTTTGATGTCTCTTTTCCCATTGATGCTACTGGGGGTGGTTTTTTAGGGCTTTAAGGGCATTTTTGATGTCTCTTTTCCCAGTGATGCTGCTGGGGGTGGTTTTTTAGGAGTTTAATTCCTGTGGGTGGATTTAGGGGCAGGTTTTGATGTGTCTTTTCCCAGTGATATTCCTAGGGGTGGATTTTTAGGGCTTTAAGGGCATTTTTGATGTCTCTTTTCCCAGTGATGCTGCTGGGGGTGGATTTTTTTAGGGCTTTAAGGGCATTTTTGATGTCTCTTTACCCAGTGATATTCCTAGGGGTGGATTTTTAGGGCTCTAAGGGCATTTTTGATGTCCCTTTACCCAGTGATGCTGCTGGGGGTGATTATTTAGGGCTTTAAGGGCATTTTTGATGTCTCTTTACCCAGTGATGTTGCTGAGGGTGATTTTTTTAGGGCTTTAAGGGCATTTTTGATGTCTCTTTTCCCAGTGATGCTGCTGGGGGTGACCCTGCTGAGGAAGAGGTACCCCCCAGCCAAGTACCTGTGCGTGCTGCTCATCGTGGCAGGGGTGGCCCTGTTCCTCTACAAGCCCAAAAAAGGGACAGGGGACACCGAGCACATCTTTGGCTACGGGGAGCTGCTCCTGGTGAGTGCTGGCACCTGGGAGGAGCCCCAGGGACTCAGGTGGGGTTTATTCCTGGGAGAAATCCTGGGATTCTGGTGGGATTTACACCTGGGATAAACCTGGGTTCCCACTTGGGATTTGCCCCTCACCTGGGATAAATTCCAGGGTTTCAGGTGGGATTTACACCTGGAAAAAATTCCAGGGTTTCAGATGGGATTTACCTGGGAGACACCTGGGCTCCCATGTTGGATTTATCTCTCACCTGGGATGAATTCCAGGGTTTCAGGTGGGATTTATACCTTGGATACACCCTGGGATGCCAGGTGGGATTTACCTCTCACCTGGGATAAATTCCAGGGTTTCAGGTGGGATTTACACCTGGAAAAAATTCCAGGGTTTCAGGTGGGATTTACCTGGGATAAACCTGGGTTCCCACTTGGGATTTGCCCCTCACCTGGGATGAATTCCAGGGTTTCAGGTGGGATTTACCTGGGATACACCTGGGCTCCCATGTGGGATTTACCCCTCACCTGGGATAAATTCCAGGGTTTCAGGTGGGATTTTCACCTGGAAAAAATTCCAGGGTTTCAGATGGGATTTACCTGGGATGCCCCTGGGTTCCCACTTGGGATTTGCCCCTCACCTGGGATAAATTCCAGGGTTTCAGGTGGGATTTATACCTTGGATACACCCCGGGATGCCAGGTGGGATTTATTTCTCACCTGGGATGAATTCCAGGGTTTCAGGTGGAATTTACACCTGGAAAAAATTCCAGGTTTCAGATGGGATTTACCTGGGATACACCTGGGCTCCCATGTTGGGATTTGCCCCTCACCTGGGATAAATTCCAGGGTTTCAGGTGGGATTTACCCCGGGATAAACCTGAGCTCCCAGGTGGGATTTACCTGGGATAAACCCCAGGCTTCCAGGTGGGATTTACCTGGGATAAACCCCAGGTTCCCAGCTGGGATTTACCTGGGATAAACCCCAGGCTCTCAGTGGGATTTACCTGGGATAAACCCCAGG